TAGTGTGGGATAGTTGTTTACAGACTCAGGCTCTGTTTGGTTGTTACGGGAAAATGCTTTTTCTTGATTCCTAAATTCCTTACATAAAGCCCAAATGGTGACTTTAGTTTTGTAACACGGCTGCATTTTGAAGGTACCTCTGAAAAACAACGTTTCTCTGCCCGATAGTCAGCAGCAGCAGCAGGGAAGTTCATTTTCTCTCCAGCTATATCAACGCAGTCTTGAAGAAGCGCTCGAGGCAGCCCTCAAACCCGTTCTCGCGGCCATTAGAGACCTGCACATTGATCATTTAAGAGAATCTCACATGCGCGACGTAAGAATGGTGCGATACTAATAATTTCATAAAAATTATCTCGCAGCATTTTTCTTAATGTTCATTTCCGTATTTAGTCCCTAATTCTTAGATATTCAATAAATGGTTCTCAATTTTTGAGAACTATTCCATAATCGGTTATTCAAGAACTATTTGTTGAAAAAATATTTTGACATATTTGGCCTAAAGGACTGTTTATGGAATAGTTTTCAAAAACTAAGGACCATTTATGGAATATATAAGAATTGAGGACTAAATGGTGAAAACCACATGTAATTAGGGACCATTTATGGAATTTACTCTTTTTATGATGATGATGATGATCGCACAGTCAATTCAGTTTAGAATATAAGTCAGTTTAGATGATTTGAATGAAATGTGTGTGGGCAGGCTGAACTGGAGGGCGAGATTAAAGCACTCCGGGAAAATCAAGCGGAGCATTTGAGACAATATCAGTTAATTAGCAAAGAAAATCAAGAACTCCGCCAACACTTGTTTTGATTGGTTTCGAAGGACATCAATTGGTAAGGGATCCTCTGTCCCAAAGGTAAGATCTCAACTATTATAGTTGGACGAGATATGTTCCTAGGAAACTGGAAGGGTGTTTTTGAATGTTCAATACTCTTTCTCTATCTTCTTTTTTTTTGTCCAAGTTGCCAATTGTACTTTTTTTTGTAGCTTTTAAGTTGCTAATTGTGTTCATTCCCTGCAACAAATCAAGCAAAGAGTGTTCACTATCCAATTCAAACCAATACATCACTATGCATACTTGGAGTAAAATTGAGTGAGGAAATAGTACTACCATATATTGTGTGCATAAAAGTCTTCAACTCTTACCACTCACATCCCATTTTGTTAACCTTTTCCTCTTTGCTTACTAGTAGTTTTTAGTTTGAACAAGAAAAACTCATAAAAAGCACTTTTTCTTCTTTGCTTATTAGTTATTTTTAGTTTACATAAAAAAGCTCATATAGTAAGCGTAGTATATTAATCACATTCCAAATGTGCACTAAGCACCTGCACATGCCTTGCTAATTCTTAGGGCATTATTTTTCGTAGGGTTCTCGTGACTTTGGAATCTCATGTCATGGGATGACCCATGGCGGCTACAATGTCTCGTTCGTAAATTTAACGGTTCCTACCTCCCACCCCCTTCAATTGCATCCCTCAAGTTAACTTTGGAGTCAAAATTTTGACTCTAAAGTCAAATTAACTTGGGGTGCAATTAAAGGCGGTGAGGGGTGTGTTTGGGTCGGGGTGGGGGAGGAGGGGGGGTTAGGATGTAGGAACCGTCAATTTTACAAATAGGACACCGTAGCGGCTCCGGGTCATCCCATAACATGGGATTCCAATGTCATGGGAACCCTATGTTATATTTTAGCATCTTATAGTTTAGATTGTTGGGTGGGGACGGTGGGGTTCTCATGACATTATGAGCTCCAACTAGAACATCTACGGTGGTCGGTTCCTAAATTTGATAGTTCCTACCCCTTTTTTCGAGCCAATATCATCCTATAACATTGAAATTCAATGTCATGAGAATCGGGTGATTTCATATTTTATACTCAGGCTAAATTTATACTATGTTTAATGTAGTTTCATAATACTCCATATAACATTAGTCCATTTGGGGAACATATGATTTTTTGTTGAGCTCGAAAATTATTCTTACTCTCATAAACCCTTAAAATCCCTTTTTACTCCTACATTTCTCGTGACATTGACTCCAATTAGAGCACCTACAGTATCCGGTTGGTAAAATTGATGATTCTTATCTTCCAGTGAATCTCCCACTCCGGCCTGACTTAGAACCACCTCATGTCTCCTTCAATTGCAGTCTCCCATCGGGGCCACTTGAGTCCCGACGGGCCAATGGAGGGATCTAGGTGGCTCCATTGGTCTTCAGTCAAAATAAAACTCATAGAGAGAGAGAGAAAGATATGGGATAAATTCCAATCGATCTAACTTCACTTTTGCAGAGCATATAATAACTGGAGATACTCGAATTGATCACTTGTGGCAAAGTCCAAATACAGCTATATAACATGCACATATATTATTATGCCAATTATTCCCCCACCCTTGCATGCATGTGCAGCTGCAAATTGCAAAGCTATAAGTTCCATTTTGACACCCAAAACCTTATCCCATATACCCTATGGAGAAAAGAAATATAATGAACCAAATATAGATGCCCCCTCTTACTTCATTGCCTTCACGTCGAGTGATTTGACTTAAAACGGACAATATATCGTAGTAATGTTGAATTACAAATTTATAGTGACGTAGTGCTGAACGTTATTCAGTGGATCAGAATCAGTCGTCATAATTTACAGACTTAATCTTTGTGAAGTCAAATGGGGCAAATTTTTTTTCTAGGTTTCAAATTAATTTGTTCATTTTAACTTGATAGAGATTAGTAAAAGATGCTGAATAGTGAAAAATAAATGCTCAAAATTTATTTAATGAAAGATGCCCTAGCAGAAATGACATACTCCAATTATTTTAATGGGAGGGAATAAGGAATAACTAAAGGTGTGTGTGTCTATATATGTGTGTGTGTGATGTATTGCTGATGGGGATTTATACTATGCTCCATCTACCACATTAAATTTTTTGTTCCAAAAGGTGAAATCGCTATTTTCATCCCCTGTCCGATGGAAATGTGAGAAGATGTAAATTATGTGACAACATTTAAATTCTTCGAAATATATCGAAATACAGCACTCCCTATTTATTTAATCGTATTTGTTAATCAAATCATTGAAGTGATTGATATGCACAATCATAGTAATATAGAACGAAAGAGCTCCTCATTAAAAAAACAAAATTGGATAGATGAGTAATGCTCTATACATGCTTTTTTTAAAGGAATGCTCTATTCATACCAAATATACCAGGTAATATTTTGATTTTATAAAATTTAATATATACCAGATCATCAAGTCATCAACTAATATTTTTTTCTTTTTTTCTTTCTTAAAATTTAAGAAAAATATTATATTGGAAACATCTTAGAATGGAGCTTCTTGGTATTTACTGCCACTTATTTTTAATTTTTTTTAGTATTTTATTACGTACATTCTCTGTCATTAAATAATTTTCTTTCGTTTTTTTGTCTGTCCCAAAGTAATACGGAGTATTTAAATTTTTTTTAAATGATGTGTCTAAAAAAGTTTATCACTTATCTCTGATCATAAGTTCACAATTGCTAATTACTCATCAAACTTACTAATGTATGATTATACACTATTATCAGGCCAATTGTTATGGGGCTTGGTGGAAGTGGCATGTCCCTTCCCAAGAGAAGCGTGGAAGTCTCTAGAAGCGTGTGGAAGAATGTAGTGTCCTCTAGAATATTCTAGAACTATGTGGAGTTCTCTAGATTTTTCTGGAACATTATGGAAGCATGTGGAGACTTTCTAGAAGATTCTACAGATAAAGAGATGTGTGAAACATTCTAGAGAAGCCTAGCCTTGGCAAAGAGTATAAATAGGGGTGTGGATGCCTCATTTGGCAAGGAATGAGAAGAAAGAAGAGAGTGAAGAACCATGAGGGCTTTTAGAGAGTGCTTGTGAGCGAGGTGTAGAAAGATGTTCCTAATATAAAGAGTGAAATGTACTACCCATGTAATTGTAATCTCTCTTGTACATTTTCTCTATATATTACAAAGTCATTTTCCAAAGTCGTGTTTTTGTATTATTGAGTGTGTGTGAGAGTGTACATGAGTTTGATTGTGTGAATCGGGAAAAGAGGTCGAGACACTCATCAATTCCCTAACAATTTGGAATCTCAAGTTAATAAATTAAGGTGTTGAAATTAAGGTGTTTGGGAGTGTTATAGATTGATGAAAAAATAAAAATTTTAAGTAGAAATGAAAAAAATTAAGTTTGTTTAAAAGTACTTCTAGGCTCTATCTTAAACATTAGAAGTTTTTAAATTTTTAAGGAGAAACAATTTAATAAACACGATAAACTATAATTTAACGAAGCAAAAGTTCAGTACTCCTTCCGTCCGAAAATGATCATCTCATTTGATTTTTAAGCCAAAGTTTGTATGTTTTAATCTCGATATATGAAAAAAATACATTGTGCTTTGATATAAATATGATATTCCGTATCAATAGTTTTCTTATGAAATGTAGTTTTCAAATATTAAATTTTTATAAGATATATATTCATGTAAACATTTACTCTCTTCGGTCCAAACAACTTTTCCTGTTTTGACTTTTTTAGTCAAATTATGACTTTGATCATAAATTAAACATAATCTAAACAAATAAATGTTATAAAAATTTGATATCTTAAGATGAACATTATTATATTATATTATAATTTAATATACTTTTCTTACAATTTGGAGTAAAAAAAGTATCACCGTTTAACTAAAAAAATCAAAATAAAAATAGTTTTGTGGACGGAAGTATATATTATGGTCAAAAAATATTAAATTAAAGACCATAAAAAGTGAACTGGGAAAATTTTCAAAATACAATTTGATTTTTGTTGAGCCCCAAAAGGCAAAAAAACAGCCCTTTTCCATTATTAATTCATTCACCATTCCCATTTCTCTGCATTTTTTCCCCGCAAGCCAAGAATCTCTCCCACCACCATAGCCTCTCTCTCTCTCACTATCTCTCTCAAAACCTAACTTTATCAGCGATGCCATTGTTCTTCTTTCCGTCTCTTTCTTCCGTTCCTTTTCTCCCCACTATTCCGATTCCCTACATAGCTGTCCTTTTTAGTTTCACACCATCGCTTTTCGGCTGCTCAAAAAACGCGCGGAAAGTGGGATACCTTCTTCCCCTATACATACTGCTCGTCCCCAGCCTCCCACATTCATGGTATGAACTGTGTTTTCTTTGTTTTTTTACTTGAAAGATTTCATCTTTATGCAGTTTGGGGTGAACCCTTTTATTTATTGTGTTTCTTGAGGGTCCATTTTATTGACAAATTAGAAATTTATGAATTGGCTGAGTAAGCTTTTCAAAGGTAATTCGAGTGAGTCTCAGTTTCTTGGAGAGGAAAGCATGGTCTGGCGCACTCCTTTTAGACCCTCCGCAATTCCGGTACTTATGTTTATAGCTTATAGCTCCATAGCTGATTCCATCTGTTGTTTGGTTAAAGTTAGTTGATGGGTTGTTTAGAAATACAAAATGAGGGATATCTTTGAATTAATTTTGAAATAAATTGAGTTTGAAATGGAGATATATTTAAAAAAACTCATTTTTTTTAATTTGAAAAGCTACCCTAATTGGCTCATTTAATAAGTATAAGCTTCTTAAATAAGTAGACTCAACAAAAAAAGAAACTTACTCTGGGGTATTTGAATAGAAAAGGCCAAATGCCAATAGATAACTTTAAAGCTAGCTTATGGCTTGCTAAACATGGCCTACATGTTGTTGTGGATTCTTGAGCTTATTTAAAATATAAAATCATGCCTGGGTTCAACAATCTCTACTAGGGGTAAGGTCTGCATACTTGGGACATTACTTGGTACTGTATGTTGTTGTTGTCTAGGTTCAACAATGTTAATGTTAGTTTTGAAATGTTAGTAATTTTTTATGATGTTACATTCTAGGATGTCCGTCCTACAAATAGGGAGAAGGACGAGTTAGATCGTGCAATTGCACTCTCTTTGGCAGAAGGTTTGAAGTGGCCCGCTGGTACATTATTATTCTTTCTTTTTCTCTTTTCCCCATCTTCTGTCTTTGCCATGCCATTTGTTGTTTTCTTAATGAAAAGCTCTGGGTTTCCTCCATTTTTAGGACGCAGATGGAGGAGAGTCATTGATGAAGAAGATATACCTTGGCCAGTTCGTGGAGGTGGCCTTAATCCATCAGCATGCCCCACTTTTCCTCCATATGCACCAAGGGATGCTTGTCCAAGACCCACTTGGTAACTTTTACTTGTACACTCTTATGGAATTGATGTCACATCAACCAAAGCACGTTCTTTTTAGCCCGAAAGCCTGTTAAGCTGATATGGGCAATTCGATCCGATTAAATCTTGAAATGGGCAAATGGTTCCAATATTGGTCTGCTTAGAATAACTATAAAACTACTCCATAGCATAGAGATGATTATATTAAGGAACCAATCAACCAAAAGGTCAAGTTTGGGGTTATAGGCCCCAGAAAGGCTTTAGACTCTAATAGATTCTTATTGTAATGCTAGGGTATGTAGTGGGTGCCACCGCGAAATTGGATATGGAAACTATCTGGGATGCATGGGGAGTTTCTTCCATCCAGAATGTTTTCGTTGTCATGCATGTGATTCTCCTATCACAGACCAGGAGGTATGTGTTACTATAGGGCCCTTTGGTAGTTCGTTTTCAGTTTTAGAATTTTAAAACTGTTATGTTACAGAGTAATTTGTAGAATAAATGAAAAAACAGGCAAACAATTGGAAAGCATCTTTTTTCTGGTTTTCATTAACATCATCTCTAGTTTAAAGAAACAGAAAGTGAAAAACGATAATGAAACATACCCATAGTTGATAGTAGTTTGCTTTCGAAACCTTTTTTAAAATTGAAAATAAGCTTCTGGAACTCTTCACTTTCTCAGTTCTGATTTGGATTATTCTTTGGTTCAAGTATTCACTCTCAGGGAATAATTCATACCACAAGTCTTGCTTCAAAGAACTGAATCACCCCAGATGTGAAGTCTGCAATCAATTTGTAAGAAAGTGTTATTCTTTTCAACTCGTGTTTGTCTTCCCAAACAGGCCCTCTCATTGTTTTAACATTGAATCCATATGGATGTTCTCAGATCCCGGCAAACAGGTCTGGCCTGGTCGAGTACAGATGCCACCCCTTTTGGTCTAATAAATATTGTCCTACGCATGAGCATGATAACACTTCACGTTGCTGTAGTTGCGAACGACTTGAGGTAGGAAAAAAAATCTTGACGAATATTTTTAAATATATATTTCAACAAGCCCAAAAATGTATGAGAGCTATATTAGATTTTAGCTTTTATATGCAATAAAATTCGTGCACATTCTTTGTGATGTAATAATTGTTTGTGTTGAATTTACCCTTTTTTTGTTGAAGTCATGGAATGCAAGATATGTGTCGCTTGGAGACGGTAGGAGCTTATGCCTTGAGTGCTTGGAGTCTGCAATCATGGACACCGGGGAATGCCAGCCCCTTTACCAGTCCATCAGGCACTTCTATGAGGGTTTGAATATGAGAATAGATCAGCAAATTCCTATGATCCTTGTTGAAAGACAGGCCCTCAACGAGGCTATCGAAGGCGAGAGAAATGTACGGATGATCTCTCTACCTTTTTTTACCTTCAAGCCTATTTGCTAATAGGGACTATGCTACAATGACACCACGTTTGACACGATAGACAACACCAATGTGTTTGACAGACATGCACAGACAGTCATTGTATGTACTCGCAATTGTCTTTGTCTGTGTGCATGTCTGTGTCACCGGAGTCATCCATGGTGTCAAACCCTGGTGAAAGAGAAAGTTACAGATTCTTTTTTTTTCGAGGCATTATAAGCCATTACACGATTATGGATGCCAAACAACTTATTTGTGAAACAGTTAATGACTTTTTGAAAATTATATTATAGGGTTCCCTCCATATGCCGGAAACCAGAGGACTATGCCTGTCTGAGGAGCAGACAGTTAGCAGTGTATGTCTCTTATTTTCGTCATATCGATTAGTTTTTCTTTTGGTTGAAACCCTTTTTCAAGCTTGACACACACTAACAATCTGCAGATACAGAAGAAGCCGAAAATGGGAGGCCGTGTATTTGTAGGAATGAGAACACAGCCTCTAAGACTAACTCGAATATGTGATGTTACAGCTATCTTGATCTTATATGGTCTCCCAAGGTAACATCCCCCCCACCCCCACCCCACCTTATATCCATGCATCATCATCAGCATCATCCCCTTAATCCCATCTTCATTAGTTTCAGTGACATGAAACCTAAAGTGTCTATTGATTGTCTAAAATCACTATAAAAATCCAAATGGTCATATGCTCATACTCGTATTCTTCATGATGTAGGTTACTAACAGGTGCCATTCTTGCACATGAGTTAATGCATGCATGGTTACGGCTGAGAGGTAAACACATGTTTGAATCTTAACTACTGCATAGTACATGTTTAGATTTCTTAGTCTTTGTATACTGTGTAGTAAAAAAATACTTTGTAGATATTCAAAATTTGCTCCAAATGAAGGGCCAAGGATCATATTCAAAAAATGGTTATTATTAAGAACATGAGTTTTGGTGCATTCTAAAGCGAATCGAAGACAAGAAATGGAAGGGTTTTTTTGAGGATATAGAACATTTTGAGAGATTAAAACTAGATACCAAGATACCAGTAATCTTTTCTTCGGTCTTGAATATCTCTGCTCTTTTGCTTACTGTTTCTTCGAACCGCACCTTTGTCTTGAACGTATGAACTGTTACCTTTGTCATGTCAACGCTACATGCTTGGTTTGTCATTATCAAAGCCCACAAAATGAAATTGTGCATTCCAATGCGAACACCATACAACTCATGCATAAAAGTTTTGCATTAGGCCTCGAAAGTTTCCATTTCAGCACAAGATTGAAATTTCTCTTTAAACCTTGACAAGATTCATCTCTAGGGCATACTTATCACGGCGTAGCCTAGGCGTCCGTGCACCCTTCTACTCTCGCCATGAGAGCTCGCCTCGCCTTATTTTGCAAACCTCGCCTAGGCGTCGCCTTAGCTTCCCCTAGGCTGCACCTACTGCCTGAAGTTGTTGCGTAACGGGCACTAAGTTGTTTGTGTTGTGGTAAACTTGAGAAAGTTCACTGGAATTTGCAGGCTACCGGAATCTGACCATGGAAGTCGAAGAAGGGATATGCCAAGTGCTTTCCCTCATGTGGCTCGAGTCGGAGGTGACTCACGGATACAACAGAAACATGCCACCACCACCACCACCACCATCATCATCCAAGAGGGGCAGAAAATCTGCTTCTGAAAACAAGCTGGGAGAGTTCTTCAAGCATCAGATATTGCACGACGCTTCTCCAGCGTATGGAGAAGGCTTCCGAGCAGCTCAAGCAGCCGTGAACAAGTACGGTCTGAGGTGCACGCTGGACCATATTCGCATGACCGGCACTCTCCCCATCTAAAATTCTTAAACAAATTTATAATGAATCCTTCCAAGCTTCTCTGTCTTCCAATGCAGATGATGTCGAAGAGCAATACAGGGAAAAATGAGAGACAACATAAGCATGAGGATGTTTTTTTTCCCACTACCTTGTTATGTTTCTGGTTTTCTATTATGTGCTACTAATCATATTCAAGGAGAGATGTCATTTTTACTCATCTAGACTGTTATGAGCAGTATAAATAAGGGTTTAGCTTCATCAATAAAATATGTGATTCCAGGCTTATTATTTGCTCATATAATCTGTGGGGTTTAGTGTTTAAGAGGGGATAGTGGGGACGGAACTGTTTTGCCACTAACATAAATACTCCATCCGTCCGTCCCAAACTAAAGTTGTCAGTTACTATTTTGATTTCACGATAACTTTTATTTACCAGTGTGTTTTTTATTGATTATTTGATAAAATAAAAAATAAATTTTATAATTAGTCATTTAAACTTGGGTTTTCCATTAATATTCTATTATCTAATAAAGAAATCACCCTACGTAGCACTCTAACTCATCTAATACTACGCATTTAGTACTGCTTATTGTTTTTTACCAAATTAGCTATTTATATTATCAATCTCTTCCAATCATACCCTTTATGTTGTCAATCCCTTTTATCCATCCCACTATCAATTATTTCAATTCCTCTTTCAACTCCTATATCAAATTCGGACTCACATAATGTATACTTTGTGCATAGTGGCATAGTACTCTTTTTTATCAAATTCTTTCGTCAATCAATTAAATGTAGTTTTGAATAAATATATATAATAAAAATACGATATATCAAAATTATATCATAAAAATATGCCAATTATAAATACTTCTTTCATCCCAAAATAGGGCTCTTATTCGATTTACGATGTTTGATTGAAGTTATTTTCAAATCAATATAAGTAAAAATTATTGTATAATTAAAAAATAGGAATTATATATTAAAAAAACTACATAAAATTTTTTATAAAGAAGTGGTGACAATGTGACTTACATATAAAACTACCAATGTTATAAATTATTATTTGACTTTCATATTGTGAAATGTGTTACTCAATATGGTGGCTATAAATATATGGGCAGTACAGATTGATCATGTTATGCAAACACTTTTGGCAGTGAATATGTCTTCTATATATAATGTGGCAGACAAGAGTGAAAGTATGGTAGTGTATAAAAGTTAGCGACCTAAACAAATTTGTATGTACTTTATTAACTTCTATTAATAATATGGCAGTGAAATTAGACATACATATAAAACTGCCAATGTTATGAATTATGAATTGAATTTCATATTGTGCAAAAGCCATGTGCTTCGTTCTATGACTATTGGGTTTGAACATTCAAGAGTTCGTTATGGAAACATGTTACGGAATAGAGGCTGATATTTTTTTGACAGTGTGGAATAATCAACTTCTAGCTACACTTTTTGGAAACGTCCTATGACCATGTTTGCCTAATGTGTTTTGGTCGAATGGGATTTATATCTAAAAATCTCAATGTAATAAATTATTCATTGAGTTCCATTGGAAGCGGATACAAAAAATCACCAAAATGATTAGTGCTTGAATAACTTTAATAAACAAAGTATGAAGTGTAAGCTCAAAGATTTTTGGCAGTGTGGAATGCTTGTGATCTAGGTATACTTTTTGGTAGTGTGTTGTGTCCTGTGTTTTGGCCAGTGTGCTATGTTGCACAATTTTACATAATGTTGCAGTGTATGCTGCTTACAAAGTCTTAAAATTTACAACATAATACCTTCATTATCCATTTCTTTTCACTACCACATAAATGAAATTCAGCATATGTCTAATATTTACATCTTCTAACATTATACAAAATCAAGAAAGACCAAAAAAAGCCAAGCCCATGTTTGGCCAGTGTGTTTTGGTGTAATAGATTATTCATGAAATCAGTCATACATTTTTGGGCAGTGTGGAATTCATAAATGAAAACAATCATATACATTTTTGGCAATGTGGAATTCATACATGAAAATAGTGTGGAATTCATACATAAAAAGAGCTATACTTTTTTTGGACAATGTGAAATTCATACATGAAAATAGTCATACATTTTTTGACAGTGTAGAATTAATAAGTGAAATCACTGCCACATAAATCAATGGACATTATACTACATTAAGGAACACAATAGTACATTTACACACTGCCGTAAGATATAACAACATATATCCATTCTACACTGTCACATTAAAAAACTCACATATAATAAACCACACTGCCCACTACACAATTACGAGTGAACAACCACACTGCCCAAAATAATCATATTTTTTGGCAGTGAATAATGAACATTTGCTGTTTAATTAAAGGACAAAATCGGAATTACAGGTATGAAACATATAGCACTGCTATTTAGAGTATTTTAATGCTTTTAGAGTGCTATTTTGGTTTTTCGCCCTATCTAATATAGTGTTTGTGCTCCTTCATTTATTAATACCTTTCAATCGATGTTTATTTTAACCTTTCATAAGCCAATGACTTTGATATTGTGTTAAGAAATTAAATAAACTAATGATGTGTTTGGTTTGATGGGAAATATTTCCCTAGAAAAACATTTTCTAAAGGAAAATGATTTTCTTATCATAATTTCTGTTGTTTGGTAATAAGGGAAATACTTAAATTTTTTCTTCTATTATTAAAATTTAAATAGGGTTGGGGTCGGGCTAGTTGAGACACTTTTATACTCCAGTAATATTTTAGTAGCGTAAGGGGTGACACATGGTAAATGAGGTCGAGGTCGGGCTTGTTGGACAGGGTTCATGGGCGAGTGGGAAGTGAAGAAAGACGATGAGTGATGATAAGGCGCTAAGGTGGGTGGGGTGGGGGTGAGGCCGGTATGGTTGGTAGGGGAGCGAGGGGGCAGGGGAGGGTAAGAGGGTGTGTAGTGGGGCTAGATGGATATGACCGAGGTGGATGAGGGTGGTAGAGTATGTGGGAGGGGGTGGCAGGTGGTAGGGAGTGGGGTGGGTCACGGAGCGGAGCGGAGAGAATAAAAATTTCCCGTAATTTCACAATACACAAGAAAATAAAACCAAAATTTTCTTGGAAAATATTTTTCACCAACCAAACATATCCTAAATGTTCAAGTATGTGGGAGTTGTAGATAGTCCTATCAATGGGTCGAGTATAGACCCGAATCCGTATAATACTCATAATTTTTTAGCGGATTTAGAAATATAAAAATACTGTTTACTCGTACCTGAATCCGTACCCGTTATTTTAAAAAAATAAAAGGTCGGGTATAGGACGAGTAGTCCCGAGCCATTTAAACCCTATATCGGTTAAATAAATAGATAATATTAAAGATTACAAAATCTTATCCTCCTTCAGCTTCCAAATCTATTTGTATTTGTTTTACTACATTAGAGGATTGTACACGTCGGTTTATGTAGTAGTATGAATTAAAAACTTTGGAATTAACTTTAATGTTATAAAGAACATTCTTGCAACATGAATAAATGTGATCAGAATGATGATTATAAATCTAAGATTTTTGTTATAGATTTTTTTTATAGAGAAGACTGATTTTTGTTCCAGTAATGTATCAGTCTTATTTTTAATTGTATTCAATTTAGATGTTTTTCATTCATAGTATTTTCAATATTTTTTTCAACTATAAAAAATTAAAAGATATCAACTTTTATCACGAGTATACTCAACTCGATACCGAGACCCAATAAGTTCAAATCTAGGATTAAAATTTAAGACCCATCAGGTAAGCGAGTACAAGCCAGACTCAATTTTTTTTTAAAATGATACGGCCTACACAGGTATAGAACACTATGGAGCGGCCCGAAACCAACCCACTGACAGGTTTAGTTGTAGATCCAGAAAATATATTCTTAAGACAAATACCCTCTCCGTCCCCATTTTTATTACAATATTATTTTTTATCTTCTTGATAACTTTTGTTTGTTTGTGTATTTTCATTTATTATTTGATAAAATAAAATATTTTTATCACGTCTTGTTTTGTACTCCCTCCGTCCCAAATTATAATATCTGTTTACTATTCACAGGGTCAAACTTCATTCACTTTCTTTCTCTATTTTCGTTAGCAATTTGATAAAATAAAATATTATTATCACTACTAGTTTTGTAGATCTTTTGATGTAGTTTTTTAATATGTAATTTTTATTTTTTAATTCTATACCATTTGTCATATAAAATGGTTTGAAAATAATTTCAGTCAAACATCGTAAACCGAAACAAGCGTTATAAAATGGGACGGAGGTAGTAAAATTTCTGATTAGTTTTTTAACATGTAATTTTTATTTTTTATTGATGCACCAATTTATAAATAAAATGATTTAAAGAATCATGTGATTATATCTCGTAATTCTTATTTTGTAATCAAAACATGCACGAAAAAAGAAGTAGAAAAAAAAGTCAGTCAACGATCAAAAGGTATTTAATGTAGAAATTTGATTTTTTTTACGCATTAGTCATCAACTCGGCACACTGGCTTTTTTGTTCAAGTCTTTCAATCATTCCCTGTTAAAAAAAACTTACGGGGTAAAAAAGAGGGCGGTAACTCACGCCTCGGTCGTCGTCCTCGTCGTGGTCAAACAGAGATCCTTTCCAAGAGTAGTTGAAACCATCTCACCCTTCCCTCGTCATCGTCTCCTATAGATCTTTCAATTAACCCTTTTTATTTGTATCTTCTTATTACCTTTTTTAATATTTAAAATACCACAACTATCCCAACTTACTTTATTTATTACACCTTTTCCACCTTATTTAATACACCCCGCACATTTTCATTAAGGGTATTTTGGTAAACTTTCACCTTTTTTCAACTCTTCTTAAAAACCACAAAAAGTCAAAACGAGAAAATCTTAGGGGAACGGAGGGAGTATATACTAGTCTATTAGCTCATTCCATTTACATATTTGACTGAAATTATTTTAAGATTAAAATTTTTTCCGTCTTAAAATGATCTTCTTAATTACTATCCACAAGATCAAATTTTAATTATTTCTTTTAACTATTTTTATTAGTTATTTGATAAAATAATATGTCATGACATTTTTTTGGCAACATATGGCATATCTATGTGGCATATTTTTAATACATAAGCTTAAACCTAATTAATGTGTTGAATAAAAAATAACTTTTGTTTCTAATAAGAAATTTTGTCAAAAAGGAAATATAATCTAAAAAATTGGAGAAAAAACTTTATTTTCTAATACTCGCATAACATTTTTTCACTTCACTAAATAAGACAAGAAAAATAATTAAACTAAATTATTAAAAATAAAACTTACTGAAATAAAACTATAAAAACACAAATGTGGATAACAAAGTGTCATCGCGAGAGGTTTTATACTCCCTTCGTCCACATTTAAAGTTCCCGCTTTGACTCGTTGCGCAAATTTAGGTGGAATGAAAATTGTGTTGACTTTCCCTTTATGCCCCTAATCTTTTCTACCCCTATACACCCTACTGGAGCCGTCTACCCCTATACACCTATTTTTAGACTTCTCGTTAGGGAAGAAAATCAATATCCCACCATAGATCTGGAAAAAAATAAAAAAAATTGTTCCTCCAAATCTAGATCCGACGAAGATGCAACCAGATCTGGAAAAAAATTTCTTCTTTTAATTGACGAAAGAAGAAGGAAGAAAAACAGGAAAAAAAAGAAGAAGAAATAAGAAGAAGAAGAAGAAGAAGAAAACAAGAAAAGAAGAAGAAAACAAGAAGACAGAATTGAGAGGAAGAAAAGAAAGAAAAAGAAGGAAAGAGGAGGAAGAGTGAGGAGGGTGGCTGACGAGGTGGGAAGGAAGAAAAAAGGAAAAAGAAAAAGAAATGTAATGGACGAGGGTAGTTTTGTTTTTTAACCCTGTAAAACTTACTAAAAAGGAAATGAGAACTTTATTTGTGGACGGACCGAAAAGGAAAGTGGGAACTTTAATTTTGGACGGAGGGAGTATTACTCCCTCCGTCATAAAACTTTCTTCCCGTTGCGCAAAACGAAGAAAAATCCCAAGTTTTTTCAATCTATTTTATTTAAATATTGGTATAGAAATAAATTAAAAAATAAAACATACATATTTAAAAACTACGGAGTACATCAAAAGTTCAACAAAACAAGTGGTGACAAGAATATTTTATTTTGTCATATAGGCCATGAAAAAACACAAATAAATATAAATTCCCGTGAAGTTAGAATAGTGCTCTGGGAAGAAAGTTTTAGGACGGAGGGAGTATAAATTTGGAAGAAATTATTTTTTTATTCTTGTATATGCATTTACATGTAAAAATTTCTAATTTTCTACATTTATTTTAATAATAATAACAATAACAATAACAATAATAATAATAATATGAAGGGATTCTACCACTCACTTTGATTGGCGGCTCTGGACGAAACTAGCTTCAATTGGAGTACCTCGGCGTTCTGTTTTTAAAATTGATGGTCCCAACCTCGACATTCTAGTAAATCATCCCACTCCGGAGCCAGTGGCTTTAGAACTGTTCTGATAAAAGTAATACGGAGTAATATTATTATTACTATTATTATAAAAGTACACGCAGATAATTTTTAAATCACTATTGAAAGAAATCAAACGACGTTAGATGAAACTAAAAAGAGTAGAGAGAAATTTGAAAAAGTTGAAAAAAGTTAGAAGGATTAAGTGTTAAAAGATACTAAAAGAAGTTGGAAAGTACTTGAAAAAGTTGGAAAATATCGAAAGTTAAGAGTTCACGTGTTTAGGTAATTATTCTATGAGAGAATAAGTTTAACGAAAAATCATTGCCCCCACGTATTTTATTGAAACATTGTTGATATTTGAATAAAAAACAAAAATATTTTGTGATAATTTTCATATAATTTATTTATTTAGATAATGTTTAATTTATAATCAAATAGTGTTACTGTTTGACTAAAAAAATCAAAACAGGAAACGTTTTTAGGGCGGAAGGGAGTAAAATAAATTCATAAAACTTGTTGTAGCCCTATACCTACAATTTATTTAGAAAAGAAGTTTTGCTTTTGGTTGAATGAGATATATAGTCGTTAAATAAAGATGGAAAAGAAATCAAAGAAGAAGTAACCCAGAAACGGCCCTTGTGCTTTATGGCGGATGACTTGGAAAACACTCTCTCCCTTGGATATGCCACTAGAGGTGTATAAATACAGACACAATTAAGTCCAAACACAACCTTATTATTATTATTGTTATTATTATTAATTATTATTAATTATTCCAAAGCTAATTAGTGAATTAATTAATTAATTAATTAATCAAGTCCTTTCATCTAATACAAACAAAACAATGGAGAATGGAAAGAGTGATGAGAGCCCAGCAGGGAGAAAACCTCTTCTTCCTGCACCAGCACCATTCTCCTCTTCTCCTTCTTCTTCTTCTTCTTCTTCCATTATAACAGACCTCTTTGGCCCAGAAAGCCCATCAAAGCTTCCTCCAAGTAATTCCTCTAGTAATGGCTTATTCTTTTCATCCCTCATCATTAGCAGTACCCAACGACGACGGGAGCATGACGATTATCATCAGTCGACGAGAAGCGAAGATGAACTGAGTCGGGACGTTAATAACCCGAGGTACGCCACCCGTGGAGATTGGTGGCTTGGTAAGTAGTGTCTGAAATCGTTTCGATCTTCTCATTTTTAATTTCTTATTGGAAAAAAATGTTGCGGAGTATATATATGTTTTACTCCACACTTTTTTTTTGTTTGTAGACATTGTCAATATACAATGCCAAGTTGCAAGCATTTCATAATGTCAACTATTCTAAAAAGAGATCGAAATTATGATTATTTTTTATAGTTGTGTATATTTCATGTTTTAGTACGTCTTATTAAGTTAAATTTCTTACTCCATCCGCTTATCAAAATAGTTCCTGTTTTGACATTTGCAGGGTTTATTTTTGTAATTTGACTTTCCAATTAAATTATTTGGGTAAAAAAGAGAAGAGTGACAGATCACTTAATGACGCATTTTCTGACACTTATTTTGAGGCATAATTTCTAACACTAATTTTGAGACATAATTAAGTACTCTGTTAATTATACTAGCCAAGTTTTTTTTCTTCTTCTTCTTTTTGCATTGCAGGATCACTATACTATTGATGCCACTAATATGGATGCACAACACAAACATGGAGCTAGCTAGGGAGGCCTTCATCAATAAGGAGAATATTATTAACATATATATACTCCCAGCCAGCAGCAAAGTGTTGTCTTGTAATAATAACTCGTATACAAAAACGAAGAATAAATATATGCATGGTTAAGTGTTTAGATATAGCTAGCTAGCTTATCTGCTTATATCCAGTGTTTATGTATAATATAAATATATTAAGTATATAAATATCATGAAATAAACCTCACCTCTTGAAAATTATGTTTAAGATAAGTTTGGTTTATATTCATACGGAGTATATTAAATGAAGAGCTGAAGAGTTTATAAATAAAGAGCAAAAGGATCGACTTTACAACTTAACAAATCACGTAGAGTGCTTTCTGATCAAACTTATTTCAGGGTATACCAAAAATACTATTATCGGATAAGACGTTAATCAAGAATAAGTACTTCGAAATCTAGTGTCTCAACCATCCGTGCAAATCTCTATTTAGAGTAAAAAATCCAGAATCAAGCATGAATATTAGTCGCGTAAGGATGCAAATCTTCGCACGAAGAGTTAGAATCGGAAGTCCATGAATGTTTGCTTATGGAGGCAGACATTCGCGTGAAGAGGTTGTGATTTAGGGCCAATTCGACGTTTATCTGTATGTCTGAACCTTTTAACGTTTTGGGCTCTGTTCATGAAAATCAAAAGAATTTTAATAAAGCACTAATACAATGTCCAAAATAAATTAAAGCAATAATGTCCAGCTCGACCTTGGCTAGGGGCTCTGCCCCTTAGACGCTGCAATCGGGGGTTGCCGCCTCTTGAACCTTGTTACCGGGATCAATTTTTTGTCTGAGCTAAGTAACTTAATTACACAAAATAGTCAAAATGACACTAATGTAAACCCAACAATTCATTAGTAACATCGGTGCGATTCCCATAACATTAGAACCCCCATGTCATGGGATGACTGGTGTTGGGATTCCTCCAAGTCCCACACCGGATGAGTAGGAGTAAATGAACCAAAATATATATGTTCACCTAACCCCATTAGTATGAGGCCCTTTGGGAAGTGCCCAAAAACAAATCCGTGAGGGCTTGTGAAGAATTATTATTTTCTATGTTATTAACGGAGGGCTAAGCCTCGTATATATAACACAGGAAGATCCTAACTACGGAAAGATTCATGTACAAGTAAACTATCATGTATACAATGATTACACAATTAATATTAAATATATACATACTATATTTAACATGCGCCCAACTACGTGACCGGAGACGGGCGAACACCTAGGCTGTGTCTGAAGTTAGAGAATAAGAGAGACGGGAGCCCTTTGGTGAAGATATCAGCATACTGAGAGGAGGAGGGGACATGTAGGACCCGAACGTGACCAAGGGCAACTTTGTCTCTAACAAAGTGAATGTCGACTTCAACATGCTTGGTGCGCTGGTGCTGAACGGGATTAGACGAGAGATATACAGCACTGACATTATCACAGAATACCAGAGTAGCGCGTCGAAGAGGTTGATGAAGCTCAAGGAGATGATTTCTGATCCAGCTAGTCTCTGCCACCGCATTTGCTACAACGTGATACTCTGCCTCGGCACTGGAGCGAGAGGTAGTAGCCTGTCTCTTGGAAGACCAGGAAATGAGATTGTCCCCAAGAAAGACACAATACCCTGAAGTAGAGCGACGGGTGTCAGGGCAACCTGCCCAATCAGCATCTGAATAAGCCTGTAAGGAATCTGTGCTGGTGCGGTGAAGAGTGATGCCATGGGTAGCAGTGCCATGGATGTAGCGCAAGACTCTTTTCATTGCTGTGAGATGAGAGCTGCGTGGGGCATGGAGATGAAGACAGAGCTGCTGTACTGCATAGGTGAGATCAGGACGTGTGAAAGTCAGATACTGTAGGGCACCAACAATAGATCTGTAAACGGCGGGTTCCGGAAGAAGAGTACCGGACGTGACTGATAGCTTTGCCTTGGTGTCGACCGGGGTGGAGATGGGCTTGCAGTGAAGCATGTCAGCCCGCTCAAGTATCTCGTGTGCAAACTGAGTCTGGTGTAGAAAAAGGCCTCCAGCCGTGCGCTGAACACTGATCCCGAGGAAAAAATTGAGATCCCCCATATCTGTCATGGAAAACTCCCCTTTAAGCTTCTGAGTGAGGCATGTGAGAAGGGCGGTGGAGGAAGCTGTGAGGACAATGTCGTCCACATAAAGCAGAAGATAGGCCATATCGGCTCCTTGAGAGAAGACAAAGAGAGATGTGTCGCTCTTGCATCCGCGGAACCCCAAAGTAAGAAGAAAACCTGCAAATCGCTGGTACCAGGAGCGGGGGGCTTGCTTAAGGCCATAGAGGGCCTTCTTCAACCGACAAACATAATTCGGCCGGGCTGGATCCTGAAAGCCGGATGGCTGGCTAGCATAGACTGTCTCGTGAAGGGTGCCATGTAGAAAGGCATTCTTGACATCCAGCTGATGGATAGGCCACCCTCGGCTCAGTGCAAGTGTGAGAACGATGCGTACCGTGGCAGGTTTGACAACCGGGCTGAAAGTCTCGTCATAGTCGATACCAAAGCGCTGATTGAATCCACGAACCACCCAACGAGCTTTGTACCTGGACAGTTCACCTGTAGGGCCAAATTTGTGGTGAAAAAGCCACTTGCCGGTGATAATATTTTGGGTGGGGGAGGGGGGGCACTAATTCCCATGTTTCGTTTGTAATCAAAGCATTAAATTCATCACACATAGCATTATACCAGTTTTGATCCTTAAGTGCACTACGATAGGTGGGTGGGAGAGGGGATATGTGGGCCATGGAGTTAAGGTTGAGGATGTGTCGGGGTTTGGATATGCCGACTTTGGATCGGGTTACCATGGGGTGAGTAGTGGGGA